TATGTTTCTTCCTGTTACACGCCATGAGCGTGTGGTACAGGCGATGTTCACCGCGCACTTCGACCCCACGTGTTTGCCTGGTACGACGTCCAGAACGGGTCATGAAGGCAACCACGAACGAGTCCGGTGGCAACTGTATGAACGTAAGGAGTACATCGCATGTAGCTAAGGTACTGCGCTGGTGTCTTCCACTTGCTTGCTGCATTGTCGCCACACATCACGCAGGGTTCAGGTCAATATGGTCATCGCATCGCATCGACATGATCAACCATACCTGGTCAGGTCTTTCACCAACCCTGCGACGGTCTTCAGTTGCCGTCGCTACATACGAGCCAGAGGCACGCGTGGGATGCATCGAGCAAAATCGTGGACCGAATGCAATGCACATTTCTTCCCGCAAAGTGCGGGGAAGTGGTGATTTCGCCCGGATCCTTCTGCAGCCTGGTTGCTGGAAGGCAACGAGCTCAGACGATCATCCGGGCTTATCCTGGTTGACAGTGCTTCCTCCTCGTTGCCACCACCAACCTGGACTAGCACCTCCCGAATTGAGGTCTTTACATGTGAAAGGATTTTGCCGCAGTGATTACCTTGAGATAGTACTAATTAGACGCACCTCAAGAGCGGATTCAAGGTTTGACCCGAATATGCAAGGTTGGTGCATCTTGACGTGCATACAGCGCTGTATGCACCTTTGCAAGTCCAGAGTGTTGGTCTGGCCATACAATTCGAGTCGGTGGTCGGTCTTTGTAGATGCAGCCCAGATCATTGGCCGAGGTGGTCGAAATCATGATTGTCGGCGTGTCAATGTTATCTTTCGTAAGTACTTCAAAAGTTACTTTGCAGGTCATGAGGTCTCAACCCTGTTTCTTCATCGTCATCTTGTGACACGTCGCCGACTTGAAAGGACTGGCTCTATTTCCAAGCCCCAAATCATGGTATGAATGCTGCTTGTGAACACAGTACAGAAGGATCCGGCAGATAGCCGTGAGATGGGTTCTGGAACCACAATCCAAAATGGTGGCGCCAGCCACCTTCCATAAAGATACAAGGTCAATTTGATTCATGCATCGCTCATTGATAGAATGGACCGAAATGAACGACTTACGAGACATGGCTGGAACGATCTTCTGACAGAAGTGACTCGGGCCGGTCAAGTATGCGCTGTAAGTACTAGCAAGTCGAGATTGGTCACTGACTCACTGGCCGGAGTCCTGCACAGGCAAGGTAGGATGTCGCCACCTGCATATATCAGCCTTGTGGACATGGAAGCACCGGACAGCTACAGCGTGGCGCCGATGGAGGAGATGACGGTGCCGTCCGTAGTGAGACCTTCTGAACTTTGAGTACATATCCCCATTCCTGGCTGATTGGGCAAATCACATTCTGAAGCCATAACTTCCCGATAAGAACACATCTCGAACAGATTCGTTCTATGAAACCACTATGATCGTCCTCTTTTCAAGTAGCAAATCTGGATCCTTAAAGGCTGTAAGCATTCTGAGGTGTTTCGGATCTCCAGGCGACTTGATGTTTCAAAACCGAGGACACTTCAATTTGCCAGGAAGCGAGGTATGAACGTCTATCACGTCCAACCGCGGATCTTCGTTCGATCATCCCAAAATAGGCGTCATTGATCACGTGCGCTAATTCCAGAACTACCAAAACTGCTGCTCAGCCTCCTTTGCTTGAGATTGCTGCTCCATACTTCAATCTCGTGGTTCTCCATCTTCATGCATATCTCATCTGATGAGCGCTTGTGTCGTCTTGTGACCATAACAATCACAAACAATGACAGCATGTGTCTAGGCGGAGATATGATGGCTATCATTCCGATATTCGCGGTTGACTGGAACGAAGCCTGACCGGCAGAAGAAAGTGAATCATGCAAGAACTCAGCGCAAGCTTTGCTGCCTCGTAGACCTCAAACTCGAGGGGCAGAAATGAATGTACGCGAGCTTTACCGAATACTCAACACGTGCTACTCATCCCTTATCGATGGGATGTGCAACAAGGGTCACTGTCCAAGGGTCTTTAATCCTTGTCAGGTGCTCCAGCCATTGTCTTGAATATGGAATCTAGCCGACATGATTCTCCCGCCGATACTCCGTCTAAACAGAAACAAATCTACAACTTGGCGCCTGCCTTCTTGCGCGCCGCTCTTTCCTTGTCTCTTAACAGTCGCCTCAGGATCTTGCCAGAAGCGCTCTTTGGAATCACATCAATGAACTCGACACCTCCAGCAAGCCATTTGTGCCGGGCCTTTTCCTTCTGAACGTGCTTGGCAATACTGCGTTTGACCATCGCGTCGCTCTCTTCCAGTCCTACACTGTTGGCCTTGACAACAAAGGCCTTCGGTACTTCACCGGCTCGTTCGTCTGGAACGGGAATAACTGCGCAATCAGCCACAGCAGGATGATTCAGCAAGCAGGCTTCGAGCTCTGCGGGAGCAACTTGCAGGCCCTGGAGTTGTCAGCATCGGTCTACCACACAGGTCCAAGCCACTTACCTTGACTTTAATCAACTCTTTTATCCGATCAACCACCCACACGTGCTCATTGCCCTTGGGTGAGACACGGATCTCGACCTCGTCTCCGGTCCGCATAAATCTCCCTTCAGGCATGTCGACAAATGTCTCGCTTGTCGCCTTCTCATTCTTCAGATAGCCCAGGACGACACTCGGCGACTTGACGAGCAGTTCACCACGCTGGTTGTACCCCGTGATCTCATTACCTTCAATGCTCATTACTTTAGCCTCGATGCCCGGTACCAGACAGCCCGACGAGCCGAACCAAATGTCCGTAGGTGATGTCGAGCATACTACTGTACACGTCTCGGTAAGACCATAACCCTGTCGGATCTTCCACGTTGGATACTGTTTGCCCAGATCTTCCGCAGTTTCCTGGCCGAGTGGTGCGGCTCCAGTGAAGATGATCTTCACGCTAGAAAGGTCGAACTTTTGTAATGCCTGCTGTTCCTTGACCATTCTAATAATGATCGGCGGTACGATATACAGGGTACTAATCTTGTACTTCTGAATCGCGGTGAGATATTGTTGCAGTTCGAATTTGGGCAGCACGATGACCCTGTCGCCACGGTAGGTGGAGCAATGACAGATCACAATCAGACCGTAGATATGCGAAAATGGTAGTAGACCCATAGCCACATCCTGATAGCCAGGAGTTGCATCACGGCCGTGCTTCTCCCATTCACAGATCTGGACTGTGTTTGCGATCACATTCCGGTGGCTAATCATGACACCCTTAGGCAAACCAGATGTGCCACTGGAATAGCACAAAAACGCTGTCTGTCTCGCTCCCTGGCCTTTGCTCCATTTGACGGGCTCGAGTTCGGGTAAAGATTCGCCGGCCTTGATCAATTGTCCAAGAGTCTTGAATCCTTTGGGAATTGGAGGGTCGTTCGGCATCTCGCAAATATATATCCGGTCCTTGGGAATCTTGGATCTCTCGGCGGCTTCTATAGCCGTCTCGAGGAGGCTCATAACCGTGAAAAGAACTTTGGAGCCAGAGTTCGTAAGCTGATGTCTGAGTTCATCGGCGTTATAAGCAGCGCTTGCGGGTGAGGAGACACCGTTGATTCTGTGAATTGCCCACGACAGGGTCATTATGTCGATCTAGTATTGTTAGGAGAGATAGAGGAAGCTCCGGAGAACGTACAGTATTGTGCGCAAAGACGCCGACCACCTTGTCATATTCGGTGCCCTCGTTGACACCCCAGCCAAATTCTTTGGCTAATGCGCGTGCCAACTTGTCCACATTCTCTTTCTGCTGTGTGGCTGTGATGCTTCTGCCGCTCAAACCACAGGTATAGGGGTCCGAGGATTTCGAGAGAGGGCATCGGCCATGCTTCTCATCAAGCATGAATTCGCAGATAGGTACGGTATCTGGGATGTCTGGGAGTTTAGGAGCCCACGGTACAGGCGTGAAGACCATGGCTGCGGTAGAAAGAGCTGAAGATTGATGAAGACCTCAGGGAATAGTCCAGCAAAGAAAATGCATCACACGAGAGAAAGAGCGTCAGAACCACCTTGAAGTCCGGTGGACGCTGGATCGCCCAGGGCCCGTCTGCACGGGCAATTGCCGAGGTAATATATTCCCCCCGGTAAAGGAAGGTCACTCCTTGTAGCGTCATACCTGTTGCGGGTACCCCAGTCCCCAGTGGAATCGCGGAGCTTGTCCGAACAGACAGTGAACCTTGGACTGAACCACGGAATAATTTGATACCCAGAGCGAATGGTTTATCTCACACGGTCACACCTGGCGGGTTCGCTCGGAGTGACTTTGTATAGCAGCGATGATCACTCTTCTTCGCAGGAGTCTCTGTTGCCATAATCTCACCTTGACGATTATTGGACCTCTTTCAGGACACTAGCAGCTCGGCTCCAATGGTTGAATTCAATCCCCACGCAAGCATGAACACTCCTGTAAAAGGTCGCGGGGGATTCTCGGGGAATGGTCTCACGTAAGTTGGTAGCCTGTTCTCACGCATAAAAAGCCAATGCGAGGGTTTGTTTTCGACGCTGGGTCGAGGCTGAATGCTGAAGGCTGTGGTTCTCGTTGCAGCAGCTTCAGGGGATTTATACCATTCTCTAGAGATATTGTTGCAGGCCTTAAACGTCAATACTAATCAGGCCTCCGACTTGCAATATTGAAGCACGTCTGTACGGGATGAGGGACCACGATATTGCTTGTGCCCGTATGTTATGTAGTAATTTGAGGCAGGACGGATAGGATCGATATCCATTCATCTGAACATGAAATTAATCTTATCGAGCAGATACCTGAGTTGACAGCCACATTATCACCAGATTCTGCTCGAACGAGGCCAAGACTACCGTATATGCCGCAGTTTCCAATTGGCATTCTAATCAAGACTGCCAAGACTACAATCACTTTACCACTGATACAACTCGAAAAAGATTCCACGTCCAACAAAAAAGATGAACACCATGCCAAAATATCGAAAAAAAAGACAGATGAAGTTGCGCCGACCCGGAGTCGAACCGGGGGCCCGTCGATTCGAGTACAAGCTTGTCCGAACGAGGACTAGCGGGTCTTGGCAACGACGGATTTTACCGCTAAACCATCGGCGCTCATCGGGGATGAGATGCTCAAGATTTGAGATAGAAATCATGTCTGTTGATTGTTGAAAGAAAGTTGGTAAACAAAAACATATCCTGAAGATATTGGGCCTGTGTGAAGTGGGGACTGCTGCCAAGCTGGAGCAGAAGGGTCAGCTAAGGCTTGGCGGTTAAGTCCTGTCGTCGTGCTCCACCACACTACCTACCGCGGAGCATTTCTAGAAATTATGCTGTCTTCAATCCTATCGGAGTCCGGTAAACGAAGTTGCGGAGCTTCAAGCTGCTGCTCAACTTATTTCTCAACAATAGACGAAGACCTGTTCACGCGCTCATCCTCCACAATCAGGCACTGGGCAATTCTCGTTGTCACCACTTCGACTTCCCGGTCGACCCTTTACGTCTCTGCTCGGTCTATCTGCCACAATCGCCGCCATGGCGGGCAGGCAATCAGTGCGTCTGCTCGCACGCCAACTCACATCCCACTGCTCACACCCTCAACCACAAACTCGGCGGACGTTCTCCTCTACATCCGCCTACCTCGCGGCACACAATTTCACAATGCCAGCCATGTCGCCCACCATGACCGAAGGCAACATCTCCAGCTGGAAAGTCAAGGAAGGCGATTCCTTTTCCACAGGCGATGTCCTTCTCGAAATCGAGACCGACAAGGCCTCGATGGATGTCGAAGCGCAAGATGACGGCAAGGTAGCCAAGATCTTCGCACAAGACGGCGCCAAGTCAATCCAAGTCGGCACAAGAATAGCCGTGCTCGCCGACGCGGACGACGATGTGTCCAGCCTTGAAATCCCGGCTGACGATGCGAAACCCGTAAAGAAAGAAGCAGACAACATCAAGGCAGACGCCGAAGACTCACACTACGAATCCTCCGGCGTTGAGAAGGACATTCCAGGCACACCGCAAAACAAGCGACCAGCCAAGGACAAACCTAAGACCAGCCCTACTGGCCCGGGCCAGAATCCCAAATACCCTCTCTATCCGTCGGTCATCGCGCTTGTCCACGAGAACCACCTCTCAGACGACGACGTGCTGAAGATTTCGGCCTCCGGTCCCAATGGCCGTCTGCTGAAGGGTGATGTGCTCGCCTACCTGGGCACAATTGAGTCAGACTACCCGTCCAAACAAGCCAAGCGGATCGAGCACATGCAACACCTTGATCTAAGCAACATCAAAATTCTAGCTACGCCGTCCAGACCCGCCGGCACCCCTCCCACAACAGAAGCTCCTCTCGCACCTGAGCAACCCAAGCTAAGCAGCGTCATCATCACTGTTTCTCTAGCAGAAGTCCTTAAAGTACAAAAGCGCATCAAAGACACACTAGGCATCACCGTCCCACTGTCAACCTTCCTCGCGCGAGCCGTCGACCTGGCAAACGACGACCTACCAAACCCGAAAGGCGCGAAACCTTCTGCAGACGCCTTATTCAACGCCGTTCTAGGTCTGGACAGCATTCCCACGACATCCCGCGGCACATATCTACCTCAGATTGACGCGTTCCCAATAGCGAAAAGCTCGCCGACCCGAAAATCTTCTCCTAGTGCCGGCACCAAGAAACCCGATATCATCGACATTCTCTCCGGCAAAGCCGTACCAAAGCGTTCTGCACAGGCTCGATCTCTATCGTCCGGTGTGCCGGGACGTACATTGACCACGGCGGATGGTGCGTTGAATACTTTCAGCGTGACCGTGCCCAAGGGCGAGGAGAAGCGGGCGCGGACGTTCCTCGAGCGCGTCAAGACCGCTTTGCAGCTTGAGCCGGGCAAGTTGGTGCTATAAGTGTCGCCCGAAGTTGAGGTGACTTCTGGTTGTATAAAAAGCACCGTTTCAAGTGAGCGTGGCGTCTGATAGCTTTGGCTCTTGAACCCTACTTTAGCTCTCTCCAGCGAATAGAATATCTTTCAAGTTACGTTTGATTTCCGCAAGCACGATTCATCGTGTTACGGTCAAATATCTGTCACTTTAGACTGTGGACTGTGCTAATGGTCATGGCCTCATGACTCCATGCATAATATCAACCGTGACTCCAACGCTCGAATGATTGCCCGATCCATCCCAATGCAGTGCCGGCGCTCATTGATAACCCCAAGATCACAATCACCGTCCTCCCCATTAACTCCGATGGCCACCCACCCATTCAGCTCAGAAAGTCGTCATACAGATGGTCATGTCGGCGACAGTGGCTTCTGCATCTGGAAAAGTTGTACTGTCAAGTCCGTGAAGGTATGGCGTGGTGGCTCGATCATCGAATCGAACCCCAATCACCCAACCTCGAAGACATCCCATCACTATCACGACCATCGTTGCCCTTCTTGCCAAACACTCGCCAAAACCGAAGTGTCTCATCTCCGGCGCCCGTAACGACCGTGGTACCGTCTGGACTCGTGCTCAAATAAAGGACACGAAATGTATGACCAGTGAGGCTGACCACCTGTTCCATCTTCGGATATTTCCAGACCACAATCTGATTTTGGCTGTAGCCGTGTGTGCTCACAATTTCGTCACTGTTCTTGCTCCAGGCGAGATTGCAAACTTGACTTCCTGTGTCAACTTCTTTGATGAGAGACCCGGTTGCGGTGTTCCAAAACTTGATAGATCGATCTGCTGTTCCACCACCAGATGCCAGCAGATGATGTTGATGAGGGCTCCAAGCGATTGCTTTGACAGCGGCGACGTGGTTTGAAAATCGATACAAGGGAGTCTCGGAAAGCTTATCCCAAACACAAAGCTTGTTGTCGTTTCCACCTGAAGCAAGTTGACCGTCTTCAGTATTCCATCGCAAACCGCACACTTCTTGCTTATGACCAGCCAATCTTCTCAAGTACTGGTCTGGGCTTCGGACATCTCGATGATAGATGAGCCGATCTCTCGATCCGGATGAGAGGATGTGATCATTCCAAGCCAATGCTCCGACTCTTGCTGAATGACCGGTCATCGTTCTCAATCTTCGAGACTTTTCGGCGTCATAGATCTGCACGAAACCGTTGTGTGTTCCAATAGCTAGATGCGATCCACGTTGAATCCATGCCACGGAAGTAACCAGGTCGTTATCGGGTAGCTTGCAGAGCTGCGTCACCTTTCCTGTCGTGCTGTTCCACATGTAGACAGAGGATCCTAAACCAACACCGAGGATATTCGCGGATCCCCAGTCTACTAGGTTGAGGTAGAAGTCGTCGGCCAGTTCTGGAGCATCGAGGACTTTGTAAGGGACTTTGGCGATAGGCCGAGGCTGTTTTCGGGGGGTCTGGAGGATCGATTGAGATGAGTAGTTGATGGGAGATATCGAATACAAGTCCGATCTTGCATTCAAGTTGATTATTCCAGGATGTTTCGCCGTTCTTGACGATGGTGTGGGATGATGTCCAGATCCTATCACCTTTTGCGGTGACTTGTAAGAGAACATGTTTTTGTGAGGAGTATTGGGTGTGATCGAAGCGGGAGGCATGGAAGAAAGAGATGGTTGACCAGGTGGAGTTTGCCGCCTTCCAAACAGGTCATCTGGTGTGATAGATCGGAAGTCTTGTGGTACTGAGTCGCCCATCAACTCGTTGCGCAGTACTTTGGAATACGTCTTGTTGGCTTCTTCGGTACGCTGGAAGTGGAGTTCACCATGAGGCGTCTTCTTCTTCGATCTGGAAGGTGTTGCTGGAGATCCGTCGTCATGTAACAAACTGTAGCTCGCTTGCAGATCCTGTCCGTCTCTGTTGGGGATGAATCTGGGAACCCGGTCAGTCATAGCCTCATCATCGCTAGACTCAACATGTTTTGCTTACCGATCTCCGTATACTCGCTGTCTCTTGCGACTCGGACTTCTTCCTGGAGTTCTCTCCCTCGATCTTCCTGCATTCTCAATCCCCTTCAATCTTCTCATCAGGGCGTCTTCTTCCATTGCTTCTGTGGCTCTTGGAACCGCCGACATGCCTTCGTCGTTGCCCAAAAAGCGTCTGCTAGCTATCGTAGGGGGAGTTTTCGAGCCAACTGGAGTGGGTAATGAGGGTGTTCGTGGACGGTCCGTGGAATCAGTTGTGAGAGAAGGTTGTGCATCTTCCGCCATGGTGATGAGGATTTGTTTGGAGTGACAAGGCGGTGGTTGTTGTTGTTATTGTGACGGGCCAACACAAGAGTGACTGTCGAGTGAAGCGGAGGTGAAGCGAAAGGACTGTCGCGCCGTCGTGAAGTCGTGGTGGGCTTCTAGAGTGCGACTGAAGTGTCGGGATGTTCTAGATGTATTGTTGATGGTCTCTGCCCGCGCGACCACTTGATTAGATCCGACAGGACTTTCAAAGAATGGCGATAGACGCTGGCTAAGATGGATGCATAATGTAATCAAACTGGCAAAGGCGACGTTCAAATGCGGCAACTGTTGTAAATGGCGACGAAAAACAGACTGTAACTCAGAGGATGGCGGCAGTGAGGTCGTTGTGAATGTTTGATAGCTGGTGGGTGATTGTTCTGGTTCGCAGCGCAGTTGTTTAGGGACCGATCAAGCTAGAGGTGAATGCTCCACCGCGCCAAGCCAGTGCCCTTGCCTCCTAACAATGTCGATTATCTGGTGCTATTGACAGGCGGTTATAGAGGGACAAGCCTGGATATATCGGGTCCTACAGTAGTACTTGCATTGCTAGTACCTAGGTATAGTTCTGCTGCATTTTCATCACAGTAAAGCTTCAATAGCTGCTCATCTCTGCCCAAGAGCATCATAACAAAGCACTCTACGCGGCCATCGTAGTGACCCTAGTTGCCCTTCTGCAGCGCGTTTCTTTGTTTTGAGCGGCAAGGGACAACTGTCATTGTCTCAGGCTCCTTCTCGGGTCTTCCCTTTTGGTTTAGTTGAAGGACGTTTGAATGATGCCTGCGGGGAGGAGAATGATTCGACTAGGTGTGTGTTTCAGACGGATCAACGCCCCTGAATCCGCCGAGCGATAGGCGGCTGCAAGGCTGGATATGCCCCCGATAAGAAGATGGAGCTTGGACCAGCTGCGGAGGAGTTGAACTTG